GGCTTCGGGCCAGCTGGTTTATTTCGTGGCGGCTTCGGGGTCGATGGTTTTCGCAGCTGTTGCTGTTGCTGCTGCTGCTGTGGTCCCGTTTGCTTTGCCACATTAGCGTAGCTCTTCTGGACCAGCAGCTTTTTATTTTGTACACACGAAATACCCGTGTGTGTCAGCTCGTGGCAGTGACGGCACGACTGCAGTTGACCCTTGTAGGCAATGTATGCCTTCACTCCGTCGATAGTGACCCACGAATCGATATTTCGTTCTACCACCATGCGGACAGACCAGATTCCAAGCGGCACGCTACCGTACTCGTGACCTTCACCAAACATAAGCTCCCGGATTGAGAGCACTTCGCCATACCGACTGAGGAACTCGAGAATCCTCTCTTCCGACACACCTTCGGGAAGATCCCACACACGCACTTCGACACTTCCATCTTCCATGGTAATACGGAGCTTGTATTTTTTTCCACTGCATTCCACTTCGTGTTTTTCGTCGTGTTCATCGACCACTTGTTGGGCCAAAGCTAGGTCGGCGACCTTGACGAACGCGCATGATTCGCCTCTATGACACTGTAGTCTCTTCACATCTTCCCTCTTCAGACCAAGTACCGTACGGCAAAAAACGTAGGTTTTTTCGTACGATGGCTTCAGAGGGAGATTCGAATAATCTATTCGAAAGGTGTTTTCTCGCCTCATCGCGGAAACACTGCACGCGACGTGGCCCGGCGACACAAGGACAATTGTAAAAAATGCCTGACTCTCTGATAAGCGTATTTGAAAAACGTCTACACGTCTCAGAAGCTGAGCGATAACTGAGCTAGTATTCACAATTTGTCTATGAAAATTCACTCAAAACATAACAGGATTTTATTCGGTTGCTTTAGAATAATTTACTTTCAGAATTCTTCTCGATTTGGAATTCTCTCTGGGAGTACCTTCAAATTTCTGTAGAACAATAAAAAAAAACTTGAAAATCGTCCATAGATTCTCTTGAATTCACTGAAGCTTAAATTTGTTTTCAATTCGCTTTAAATCCCGGAATTCTTTGTAGAATTCCCATGCAATTCACCTCAGAATTCTCGACCAACAACTGAAAAGGGCCAATTAGTTTTTGAGAGCAACACTTGTAATCCAATTCTCCCGTCGAGAATTGTCTTCAAATTTTACTCGAGAATTATCTTGGAGATCTCCTTTAAATTCTTCTGGAAATTGCTTGGAACTCTCCTTAAAATTATCTAGAAATTCTTTTTGAAATGTGCATGGTATTATCCTCAGAATTTTCTCTGGAATTTTACCCTCAACATTCGATTCCCTTGGTATTTTTTTGCGAATCCTAGAATTATTTTCACAATCGTCATGAAATTTTCCAGAGAGGTGCATAAATGTTTACTCTGAACTCACTCAATTGACTTGGGAATTCTAGTCGAAACTCTCATAGAGATTTTCCTAATACTCCTTAAAAATGTTCTCTGAAATCCCTCTAAAATCTGTTCAAATTTGCTTTGGAAAAAAAGAATTCTAAAATTCTCTTAATAGTTCTTCGAAGTGACTGTATCCTGAAAATCTGGTCCAGTCCAACGGTCTTAAAATCTAACTTTTTTCAAGCAGAGGACGAAGCATATTTTTCCTGATTTTTCATCGAATTTCACGGGGTTTTCCCTGTGACTTCAAATTCCTGGCTTCAGCCGTTTTTCTCAATTTCCTGAATCACTGGTCACCTGTATTTTACACGAGGGGTGCGACACATCTAAATCTCGATTTTGAATGATCGAAAAATCTCACACTAGCGGATCAATCTACGAAAAATCTTTTTTCATCTCTTGCATCTAAATCCATCTAACTCGCATCGCTCTCCACCTTTTTGCAGGAAATCTCCAAAATCATAGACAATCGTGTTTCTATCTATTAAGCGCGAGTGCATCTCACAACAACAAAGCAACAAAATTCCTGCATCTTAAATAGAGTCGCCCCCTTAATTTTACATATGAAACACCTGTCTTTAATCACATTCTTTTGTTTTCCCTTGAGCACTTTTTAAGAACCAGCTCCGCTAGAGTTATTCCGGATAACACGCTTAACCAAAAAAAAAACTAATCCGCGGGCGAATTCAGGAAATCGTAAAAACAGCGCTTACGTTTTTTTTCCTTTGGTTTGTTTTTTCCGTCGATCTTGTTTTCCGTGCTGAGCACCAATGCTACCGACGTGCCAGGAAGGCAGCTCCCACACCTGGACCCTACCTATCGACCCATCAACTCATGAACCGGGGACCAACGGCTTTACTTCCCATCCGAAGGAAGGCGTGATCAGAGACGTTATGCCTCAGAACATCCCGGGATTGAACCCAGGCCTGCTGGGGTGAGAGGTAATCATGCTTACCACTACACCACCGGCGCCGTTTAAAAACAGCGCTTACGTTAATTCCATATCAATTGCAATAGCAGCATAATCACAATACTAAAACTTCACTGAAAAGCTAATTTTGCGAGCTAACCAGCTTTACAATGAAGACCTAGAATACTCAATAGGGCCACTCTGTGCAGTCAAGGACTGCCTGTCTACTTATATTTGAATAATTCAACCATAAAAATGATACTCCAAGCAATCAAAAAAATTCCAGCCAAGCAGGACCATTATCCTAAATACTCATTTAGATGATTCTCTGAGCTCGTATTCCCGAGTTTCTCCGGTTACTTTTCAAATAACCAGTTATTGCCCGGTTCGCTGGCCACCCTGTTAAAATTAATTTTAAAGATATCAGATTCAAAAAAATTCATGACTCTTGATCTTAAAACAAAATTTAAGGAAACCCTGTGGAGGATTGCCTAGAGAATTTGAATGAGAATGTCAAATGAGTATTGAGGAGAATTTTAGTCTCTCCCATTTTCTCTATAGGGTAGAGCACTACTTCGGCCTAATCGCCCATTTTGGGCCTATCGAGCAGAAATCTTCAAATAAATCCATGATTCCTGAGTTAACAAGTCAATTATCCGTCTGGTACGATACTTTAGTTAATAAGCTACAGAACGAAGTCAATGAGAACGCGTGATATGAAGGTTTGTACCCACTATTCCCAAAAACAAAAGAAGCGCTCCAACCGAATCAAATTTTATCTTCATCCGATAGGCCGAAGTGAATTCATTGGCGTTTCAATGCGTTAGGCCAAGTTTAGAATCCGTAGGCCGAGTTTGGCGTCAAGAAGTAGTGCTAGACTTTTTAGAATAACTTAACTATTGGTTTATCTTACGGTACGTACGGAAAGGTAAATAAATTTGGAAGCCATAAGTAATAATAACATTCCGTTTGGTGCTAAACTGCGCTAGATTAAGAAAGACTAAGTGCGGGTTGTGCTTAATAGGCCGAAAATGGGGTAGTTAACCCTATCTCTCTCTGGGGATAATTTAAAAGGAATTCTGAGGAGAATTACAAACAAATTCGACTCTAGAAGTTCGTGGAAATTTAGAGCAGATTTTCAGGAAAACTGTTACTCGAGAAGAACTAAAGGTGAATTCCAAGGTAGTTCTGAAGAGACCATTAGGGGCCGTACACAAGCTACGTAGACCGTTTTTGATAGGATTTAGATTGTCCCTACATCCTCGTAGAAAATCGTCCATACAGTTTTTTTTTAATTTCAGACACTTCCCAAACCACCGAATGGCTACATTTGGAATAACGGCTATGTGAAAAGAAGTGAAGGATAAAAATCTGATGCGCTGAGAGGCTGATAGCATCGGGTCATAACTGTACTTTGAATTAAACTTTTTGAAAATTTTCTCATTTGTAGTCATTAAAGTGATCTTTTATGTGCCGCTAATTTTACTAAAATCCGTCCACTACAAAAAATAGTTGAAAATTGAGCGTTTTATAAACTTGCTCAAGCTTCATATAGGCGCTGCTAATCAAGTCCAAAAGTATACCGATAAATCAATAAATAGTTAATCAAGCACCAGCCAAGATTTCACAAGCATATCTATTTACAGTGTCTCAAAAAGTTGTCCATTCAGGTGTACGGACAATTATTTGATACACTGTAAGTTGGAGAAATTTTTGGAGATTTTTCGTATTTGCACTGAATTAAACCTCAGCAGATGAATTTCATCCCAAAGCGGATAAATTTCATCCAGATCCCTTCCAAATTAAAACATTGTTGGTGCGAAGACTTTGGCTAACTAAGCAAGTTAATTAAAGTATGCTATGTTTTTTTTTCACTGGAGCGGGTATGAAAAATAACAAAATTTTATGAGAAAGAACGCTAACGAATATTTTTGGAATAGGTCACTTGATTTCGAAGAAATGACTGCAACATGTTCCGATGAATTGGAAACGCAGCGTTCAAAATTGGAACGATGACGACAAATTTCCACACAAAGCAAAGGGAATCCTGTTTTGGATTAGCACCCACCCGTTAATAGCAATACACACAAGCCTTAATTCACTTGTCTGTATTATCATAAGAGGTTCGCAGCTCGGATGGCTCGAAAACTGTCATACGAAAACCTTTGAACCAAATTCCAACGAGATGTGCTCATCGAACATTCAGAGTGCAATTTCCCCAACCAACGAAGTCACCGGTGCCAATCATCGCGATCAGCTGAGTGACCTGCGCCTCCATTCGTCTATGAACCGTTTCAATCTCACCGCCTAGCCTAGCTATGAAAACGCTCGTCCAAGAGATGCGATGCAGTGCAAGCAAACCCTGAAAAGAGTTCACCATCGATCGGTCGATCGATTGAGCGATCGCATGATTCAAGTCTGTTAGCTGCTAAATATACGTAGTATTTACATCAGCTGGTGGGCATGAGCTTTGTGCAAAGAAACACAAAGAATGAGTTCGCTTTCATTCGGATTTCCCAAACTATCAGCAAATTAACGACGTTTGAAAGAATGGGCTCTTTCACGAATCAAAGACATATTTTGTGTGTCTGCCCAAAAGAACTGACATTGACAACAGACTGTTTACATTCGGCGACGAGGTGAGAACAAGGTTAGGGGGGGATCTCGTACCTGCTCTTGTTGAAGAAGTATCCCACGACGGCGAGGAATAGTAACACCTCTACTATTCCAACCATTTTGCTAAAAACTTTATTATTGTTGACTTTTCCCTACTTCAGCTGAATTGACACTTGTTCAATCACAATCTAAAGATAGCATTCACAACGGGTTTCTTCGATTCTTTGAATCATAACCTTCAGGGAAGACTTTCCCGAACGTTACGCTTTTTCCTTTTCACTACAACCACCGACTGTTGGGTTGGTCGTGCAAATTCACCACACTCGCTCTTTTTCACCACACTTTCCTCCTGCGGCAACCATTCAGCCGGAAACGAAAGGGAAACGGTTCTACCAACACCGGAAAGATACTACGAATGGGGTAGTATTGCTTCTCATCGACCGGATCGGGGGTTGCTTGACCCCTCGTTTATTTTCGGGGCCGGTGATGATGATAATCACGCCACCACGTTGATCACTTTTGGCAACGGTTCAAAAATTCACCACCGACGACGACGACGACGATGGACGCGACAATGGCTGTGGCTTATCGCGAATATTACGAGCCAACTTGGTAACTGCTAATGCGAGCTGTGTAGAATCAATCTACTTCCGATCCGAACATGGCGACCAGCGAAATGCGACTGAAAATCTGCGACGAGCATCGCGACTGTTTTGTTGCCGCCGTTTGCGAGTGTAGAAAAGTCAGCGCTACTCGAGAATGTATTTAAGTAGTACTGTCATACAGAGACGTGCGCTGGGAGCAGGGCTGACTGATAATAAGTACAGAGGACTCAGTGGGCCGCGTTTGCACTAGGGTGTTTCGAGATTGTCTTATCATTGCGGGGGTTCGGGAGAGTGCAAAAATCGGTATAGCAACAGTGGGTGCATCCCTTCTTCGCCAATAACTCAGGATTGTCTGAGCCAAAGTTGATGCAATAATGCAACCACCCTAGTTTCCGTTCTCGTCGCATCTCGTGTAAACGAAGGCCAGAACGGCGGGTAAGTTTTCTTAGTTGATCTTTGCCAGTGCACTGGGCCTTCTTTAAGAATAACGAGTATATGCACAGACATGGCATGATGTAAACAAAACTTCGCCGTTCCGATGTACCTCATTGAGTTATTCAATCGGATGGTTTTCTGCTGTATATACAATAAAGCGAAACTCAGCGAAATTATAGCTTTATTCTGCCTACTTGCGCTACAGCAGGCGAGACACGGTTCGATAAACGCACTTGATCATCTCAAGCGGCGCGACATTTCTCGTCGCCTTGCCAACCCCCTTCTTTCACGGTGCTACACACTGTGTAGTAGTTCTGACTGACAACCTGATGCAGCGATCACAAACACCAGCGGTCACCAATTGTTGGTGAATAAACTCTGGGAGAGCATAGTGCACCTTTTGCTGATTTCTACTTTGCACCTAATTCCGAACCGGCCGGCTTGCTACGACAACGACTACACACTGAGTTGACACATTTCCGTACCGTTGCATTGCGCGTAGCTACATAAATGCTGATGTTTCTTATTGTCAAGATTGAGACATATATACGAGCGAACGACAACAATAACAACAACAACAACAACAGTACATTGATGGGCTACCCTGCCTGCCTGGATGCATTATCGCCCCTATCTGTTGAAGCGAGACGCAGTTTCGCTGGCCATCGGTCACCATCGTCAACTTCATCGTCGAATTGAGCACATTCTGATATGTGTGTTTTGTTTGTAGTTATACGGCAATAAATGATAGTCCCTTTCCGCCATCGTCGTCGCCGTCTTCGTCGTCGGTTAAACTATACTTATTTTTATCACAACCGTCAATTGTAGAATGCTATGGTGCTGTGATTGTTCATCAATGGCCATTCATGAAATGGTATTCAAAAATATTCCGACATATTTTAAATGTACGCTTATGTACATGTTTCGTTGCAAGCCAAGTTCTCTACACATAAATAATATAGTAAAAAAACGGTTTATTTCCATTGATTAAAGTGCTACATTTTAAGAGATTTAGCCTGACTTCATCTTGAGTTTTGTTGGGTTTCAAATATGTATTTGACCAGGCGGTAGACCTCAGAATTTCAAGTTCACGGAAGACTATTGAGGATCATTCTCATTCGTTGCCGTTTGAGGTATTTAGGTAGCACAACTCTGCCAGACTGGCATACTTAATTACTTTTCTGCTGGTCCAACGTCCTTCAAGAGTTGACCTGCTGTACAAATGTTGCACTAACTCGTGGCAGCTTGTCTCCAGTTTCTTGAGCGTCCCACACATTTCCTTGCTTCACTTGGTCTGGTTACCTAGCTCATGCGGGATTATTGTCCGGCATTCTTAGATTGAGTCTCGTCCATTGTACCCTTCCAGCTTTAGCGACTTTTTGGATGCTGGGCCAGCTCGTGGTTCATTCTTCTTCTCCATAAGTCCCTTTAATATACACTCACTCCCTATGATGGTTCTTACCACGCGTCCTTCGAAAACTCCCAGTGCCTTCAGGTCCTCCTTGTGCCCTTAGAGAACTACCGGTCTTATCAGCGTCTTGTACATATATGGTACGCTTAGTACGGGAGCCAAGTTAATCAGGTGTCAAGGTCTTGTTAAGTCCGTAGTAAGCACAAATTCTGGCTATAATGCCCTCTCCGCATTAGCTGCTAATTCTTCAATGGTTTCAATGGACTGTACGAAGGAACCATACAATCATTGCAGCACCCCAGGTAACAATTTGATGCTTAACAAGTGTTGTTCAATCGAATTAAAAGCCTTAGTTTGAATAATTGTTGTAGATAGACCACGTTAACCTTTGTTCAGCTTTTAAACATCTAAACCTGGTGATTTTAATCAGCCAATAGCTTAACAGTAATATCAATTATAAGCTTTTTAAGGCATTAAATAACAGTCTATTCCAACCCTTGTTCAGCTTTCTAGTTTAATTAAAAAAAAAAAGTTGGAAGGGTTGTATACTAGATACGACCGCAGGGTTGGCGTTGGATAACGGCTGTTATGTGTTGTACTTAATTGTGTATATCATATTTTAGGAATATTCCTTAATAACTCTTTTGCGAAAGTTTGGTGGCCCTGAAAAGGGCCGTTTTGTAGGCTGATGTTGTTGGGTTTGCTCTACTCTGTCGCCCTGGAGGAGCTTTGGAATGATATTGGTAGTTCGAAGACAGACAGCATCTCCCCTTCCAGCGTTCCCACACCCCAGTATAGTCCCCAAATTTAAGTGTAACTGTGATATTCTGGAAAGAAATTGTCTTCAAAACTAACTCTTTGTCGAATTATTGGTGGCCCTGAAAAGGGCCGTTTTGGTTGTGGTTTTGGAATGATGGTTATGCCGAGCATGGGTACCGGATGGCGATGGCGATTTTGAAGAGCTGTTTGCATGCCGGGCGCTTTGCTTCAACCACGAGTGAGGTGAACTCCGGGTAAATATTATTACCAATCAGTAGAACAGCGCTAGGTGGTATGATGAACCGGGAAATCCACTCGAGATGTCGAGAGGGTAGATGGTTGTTTTGGAGGTTGTGATGAGGACGATTTTGGAACGGAACGGGTTGTGCTCGATGATGCATCGTTCTTCTTCACACAGTCTGTGAAGACGAGTTCGATTCTGAAATAAGTTTTGTAGAAATGCAATAAAAATGGAATCTATGGCTCTGCAAAGATTCAGCTTTCGATATTCAAGTGTCGGAAAGGCATTAGAAAATTAATCGTTAAACTCTTTCTTGATAATGTTGTGGCCCTGAAAAGGGCCATTTTTCCAACGCGCTCGGCGTAGTTGCCCTTGCGGAGCAGACGGTGAATACGACCGACTGAGAACTGCAACAGCTGGGCATTCCATGACGGTGGCCCAGTATACCGGAGCACTGGCACCAACGCACTCGGCGTAGTTGCCCTTTCGCCCCCAGGCTCTGCTGCCGTTGCTCTGCTTCCGCTGCTCTGGTACTGCTGCTCTGCTGCTGGGTCGACGATCGGATAGACAATGATGGAACGGGCGACCTTGTTGGACGCTTATATAGTAGAACAGAAAATATCAGAGGTGTCAGATACTCGCTTCTGATGTCTCGGTTGGAGAAAGTATAAGAATATAAAAAAATCAATCGATTTTCACCATCTTTAGACAATGGTTTACTTTTAACCATTTTTCAATAGTTTACAGAATGAAATTAATAGTTTTGAAACATTCAGCAAATTGCTAGAAATATTTCCAATCGATTGATGCCATTATCTCGTAAATCTATCGAGAGACGGTTGAGTTATTATCGTTCAAAATCTTTTGATTTTTCGTTACGCATCCAAAATGACTGTTTTCAATTTTGTACCCCCGTATGTTGCCGAAAGACGTTATCCAACGTCAAAAAAATGAAGACCGCTTCACATCTTATATTTTTATGGGACTGCAACAACTAATTGAATTTACATACTTATATTGTTATTATAAGTCAAGTCTAAAAATTACCTTTCCATTTCGGGATTCGAATCGGCAGTCGCTGATTCACAGGCATCAATCATACCTACAGGACCACTTAAGCATATGTGTGGCAAAAGGTATGATCATTAACTTGAAACACGTCAAATTTAAGTTGAATAACAGCAACCGGAAGAGTGTTATACAGCAATGCAGAATTGTTTACAACAACTGGTGACAGTAAAACATTCATCTCATTTTCAAGTGTAGTTAACACAATGTGGACACAAGTGCGCGATTTATTTCGATCGTCATGTGGAAGCTGTTTTAGTGCCATAATTGAGTTATATTTTTGGATATCTATCTGAAAATTCAGTGCAACATAGCAGTCTAAACACAAAAATACAAATGTTAATGCTTCCGACGTCGTCGTAGCCCACATCTAGCTGGAGCTATTCCTAAAAAGCTCCTCTACCTTGTCTCTACTGCTGCCGCTGCTTGGGATTAGAAAGGTAGACAGTTGATTTAGAAGAACTAAAATGCCGGAAATGCAACGACTACATTTAACAAATCAGAATACCACAATATTTGTAGCGCATTGCTGATTTGTGGAGTAGTGTAAGCTAAAATAAGGCTGGTTCAATCTTTAGATCAGCTAACCTATTGAGGTTGAATTATGGGTATACAATTAGCTTCACGCACTGCTAATCAACTATATATTCAGCCTGCTGTTAATCAGCTTTGTACACCTTAAATCAACCAATAATCAGCTTCTGTTCTTACTGTTCAGCTTGAATTGTTACTCGGGGTACTTTGGCCGATAGGACCTGTTCGCCGATGGGCTTAGTGATGTTGTATTCCACCCAAAGACCAGCCACTTGCAGCATGTTGGCACCGTTGAATGTATCGTGTGATTACGTTCCTTCTGTGGTGGAAGCTGAGGGGGGCGGGAATGTTGCCGTACAGTCTGGCAACGCTGGTTAGCATCGTAGTACCAACTCTGCAGGAATAATTCCAAACGGAGATGACCGGCGAACGTAAGATTTTGCGTCAGAAACTCAGAAACTAGGTACGAGCGTGCGCCAGCCAAAAAAAGGAGAATCAATTGTCTCACCACTTTCGAACGAAAAATATAAAGTTAAAGAAAAGTGAACCGCGTGTTTTAATTCTGGATAGAGCTGGAATTAGGGCCTAACAGCTTTTGTAAACAATGACTTCTTTCGATGAGTTATAGAAATTCAAGGTGCG